TCTTCTTCTTCTTCTTCTTCTTCTTCTTCTTCTTCTTCTTCTTCTTCTTCTTCTTCTTCTTCTTCTTCTTCTTCTTCTATTTTTATTTATTATGCATACAGTGTTCTGGTAGCATGTATGCCTACATGCCAGAAGAGGGCACCATATCTTATTATAGATGGTTGTGAGCCACCATGTGGTTGCTGGGAATTGAACTCAGGACCTCTGGAAGAGCAGCCAGTGCTCTTAAGCTCTGAGCCATCTCTCCAGCCCACCACTGTTCTTCTTACAGAACGTATCTGGGGAGCTAGTTGGGCCCTCGGGCCCATCTTCTCCCCACGAGGCCTTAGGGGTCTTTAGCAACAGTGGCTGGATTTTACTCATTCATCCCAGTATCTTGAAAGCTCCACTGAGGTTCCCTGAGCTCCTAACTGATTCTCTTCCCTCCTGAGAGCATGGCTGCCCACTGGAGACCACTGGATACTTGAGTGAAACTCATAGCTTAAACAAGAATCAAGGACCAAAACAAACAAACAAAAAACCCAAATCGAAATTAAGAAAGATCAAATTTGGAGGGGGCTGGAAGATGGCTCAGTGGTTCAGAGTACTGGCTGTTCTTCCAGAGGTCCTGAGTTCAATTCCCAGCAACGATTTGGTGGCTCACAACTGTCTGCAATGAGATCTGGTGCCCTCTGCTGGCCCGCAGGCAAACATGCAGGCAGAACACTGTATACATGACATACACAAAATCTTTTTCTAAAAAATGAAATCTGGAAACAGCTTGAGTGTTGGGCAGGAGGCAGTCAAGTGGGTGTTGTACTTGACACATGAGTGTGAGGGCCTGAGGCAGATCTCCGAAGCCATGGAAAGCCGGAGCCCGTCTGTAATTGCAGTGTGCCTATGCAGAGGTGGGAGGTGGAGGCAGGAGACGTCCTGAAGCGGCTGGGCTGCTAACCTGTGGTCAGCAGCAGCAGCAGCAGCAGCAGCAGCAGCAGTAGCAGCAGCAGCAGCAAGAAAGGCCCAGTCCCTGAGGGTGACCTCTGACCTCCACATGCATGAGGTCATACCTGCACACACATACGTGCATTCACACATGTACACATACATTCCCACATCATACACGAAGATTTTAAAGATGTCTAACATCCTTGGAAATTCAACATATTGGGTAACATGTTAAAAAAAAGAGCTAAAGACAAAGCTTTTGTACACAGGCAAGCATGCACACACACACAGAGAGAGAGAGAGAGAGAGAAGCATGCACACACACATGCACTCACATGAGCACACATGCACACTCCCTCTGTTATCCTCACCACCAGAGTCAGAGGGTGAAATCAGGAAACAGTGCCCTAAGACTGTTACCCTAGCGCCCTGGGACCCGTCACGGGCTGCCGTTCCAGCACTTCTCGATGGCCAGAAGAGACTCTGATGTCGACAAGTTTAAAAAGTAAAACTACCAACGTTTGGGTCAGCATGATGGCTCAGTGCGGGGAGGCGTTTGTCACCAAGCCCGACGGCCTGAACTCGACCCTGGGACCCACATGGTGGAGAACTGGCTGCCTCAGCTGTCCCTTGACCTCTCCACATGAACACACGCCTGTGAGCACACACAGAGAATTAAAAAGTAAAAACGTAATTTAAAAAAATCAGGTTTGCTGTAATTAACATGCTAGTGTTTGCCACAGTTCCTACCTATAACATTATTTATTGGGGGCTGGTGAGATGACTCATCAGTCAGGAGCCCTGGCTGCTCTTCCACAAGACCGGAGTTCGACTCCCAGCACCCACACCAGGTGGCTCTCAACCACCCGTAACTCCAGAAGACCCAGCACCCTCTTCTGGCCACTGCGGGCACCTGCCCTCCTGTGCATATAACCCACATACATGCACCAAAAAAAGTCCTGAAATACTTACTAATGTGTGCATGCCCGTGACTGCAACAGAGGGCAACTTCAGGGATCTGTTCTTCCTTCCACACGGGCTCCAGAGGCAGAATTCACATCATCGGGCTTGTGTGGCAAATGCTAGTTACACACGCTAAGCATCTATGGTGTGTATTCGAGTGCAGCTCCTATATCAGCACAGGAACTGTGTATTTCAGGGATGGTCGTTTCCCTCAAATTTATTCACTTAACACTTATTTCCTTTTATTATTGTGTGTGTGTGTGTGTGTGTGTGTGCACATGCACACCACAGCACATGTGTAGATGGTCAGGGGGCAACTTGCAGAATCAGTTCTGTTCTTCATGCATGTGGGTCTCGGCGTCTGAACCCAGGCTGTCAGGTTTGGCGGCAGTCTCCTTTACTCAGTGAGCCATCTTGCCAGGCCTGATTAAATTTGGCTTTGGCCAATGACATGGTTTGGTATGCAGAAGTGCTTGCCAAAGAAGCCTGGTGGCCCAAGTTTGATCCCCAGAACCCGTGACCAGGTGGAAGGAGAGAACTGACCCTACAAACTGTCTGTCCTTTGACCTCTCTACGTACACTGTGGCGTCGGTGCCCACACATACCTATCACGTACACACAGACACACACGTGAAATAAATTTACATACCACAATTCATCTAGCTTAATAAGTACATCTCCGTCAGTAAAACCAAGATGGATTCATCTACTAGGCAGTGTAATTACCTTGATGCTTTACATGTGTAGTATAGTACATGTATGTGGCATGTGTGTGCAACTATGTTCACAAGAACAGAGACCAGAGGAAGAAGTGTGTGTCCTGCTCTATCATCCTCCACCTCATCCCTTTGAGACAGGATCTCCACTGACCAGATGATGGCTAGTAACCATCAGCAAGGCCCAGTCATCCTGTCTCCACTCCCACAGCACTGTGGCTACAGACCTGGCTTTTTCTGTGTGGGGATTCAAACCCAGGTCATGTTTTCATAGCATGTGCTCTTAATTTTTTTAAAAATGATTTACTTATTCTCACTTTATGTGCACTGGTATCTTGCCTGCATGTACATCTGTGTGAGGGTGTCAGATCCCTTGGAACTGGAGTTACAGACAGCTGTGAGCTGCCACGTGGGTGCTGGGAATTGAACCCGGGTCCTCTGGAAGAACAGCCAGTGCTCTTAACTGCTGAGCCATCTCTCCAGCCCCTCAGCATGGCTCTTACTCACTGAGGCCCTCTCGAGCCTCACGTGCATGTTTTTATGTCAGCGAAATCTTTAACTGACGGGGCTGTTAGCACTCGAGTGTAATCATCTTCAAAGCTTTATATTTTAAGGAGGATGGAGATGTCTCCCGAATGAGAGGTGAAGTTACAGTTATTGCTTGTGTTTATGGTTGAGTTTCCCAGCCCCTGGGATTCACTGAAGTCTGATACCGTGGCACATCTGTTAAAAATAACGACTACCCGCTAATTCCTCTCCATGAGCATTCCGTGTGGCGGCGGCACCCAGGCAAAAGGGCAAAATCCTGAAAAGTGTATTTTGCATTTTTTTTTATTTAAAAAAGCCCATGATTCTTTGGAAGTGACACAAGATCGGTTTCCAGGGATCAGACCTTCGTTCCCACATCTGAAAATCACCCAAGCGAAGGGCTCCTGCTCTCCCCACCCAGATTCACGGTCGGCACCTAGACATGAAATGTTCACTTCTGAAAAACGGGAGGAGTGTGTGTGCTCAGTGGCAGCCCACTGTGTCATGACCAGAGAGTGGACCCGAGCCTGTAGGCCTGGCTCGTCATCTCTGTGCCATCAGAACCAGCTGCCGGGAGATGCCGACGCCCTCTGGGCCTTCCCCTCCCCGACTTGTGAATTGGGAGTGACCCGGTGTCCACAGAGGGAGCAGATGGGCCAGGGCTGGCACTCGCTTTATGTTCTGGGACATAATTCGAACTGGTCACATTTTTCAGAAGGAAGAAAAAGAACAAAAGAATAGGACTGCCTGTTCTCTGCTGACGGAGCGGAGCGGAACCCAGGGATAAGGCTGGTGTGGGAGGGGAACGGAAGATATGAACACGACCCAGTCAGAAAAAGCAAGCCCGCTGTGAGTACAGGCCTACATCCCCCGCAAAGAAAGGTCCCTCACTACACAGGGTACTGAGGAGAGAAAGCCCACGGCCAGCACCTGGCTGGCGTTTAAATACGAAGAGAACAACACCCCACTTTCCCTTCAAACGCCAGGAAGCTTGATGCAGCCTATCTGCCCAAGTGACCAGGTTCATCTTTCTAATTCTGCTTCCAAGCCACCGAGGTTTATCTTTACAAAAAAGAAAGAAAAAAAAAGAAAAGAAAAGAAAAGAAAAGAAAAGAAAAGAAAAGAACCCTTTTGTTTTTTCAGTATTACCAGAGCTTAGATTTTTCTGTGTACTTCTAAACTGTTAAGAACTGACAAGGGGTCTTACCAGAGACCCTTTTCTAAAACCTAAGAAAATAAGACGTAATTTTTTTTTTCTTTTAGAGACAGGCTCTTGCTAAGTAGCCCAGGCTGGCCTTGAACTCAGGCTACCCTCCCTGCCTTACCCTGCCTCACTGCAGGCCTGCACCACCACGCCCAGCTAAAATGAGGCGTTTTCATTTTCAAACAAAAGATGGCCGCGTCCTAAAACTAGGGAGAATGAGATACTGTGACAATACTTTCTCTTGGCACCCCAACTCAGCTGTCTGGGATCTCCAGGTCCCAGAGCTGGTGGCTGTCATGGTTCAGGGAGGGGGGGGGATTCTCAAAGCTCCTGCTGAAGTTAGCAGATCTACCACACAAAGGTGACTCCTCTGCCAGCCGCTGACACACAGACATCTGTCCCATGTGAAGAAGAAGTGACGGTGAACGCAGCTGTGGAGAGCGAAGCCAGGCTGGAGCCACCCCTGGCCTCGCGCTCCGCAGCCGCGGCTCCGCTCCGCTGGCCCGGCTCACAGCAAGCAGCACCGCTCTCGGAAACTCTTCTTGCTCTTGCTGCTCTTCCTGCCGTTCTTGTCTTGTTTTCCGACATCTTCTTTGCTCGGATTTCTCTCATCAGATCAAAGAAGACCTGGGGGCGGGGGGGGGGGGGGCGGGGGGGGGGGGAAGGAGAAGAGGGGAGCCATTAGTCACTGACAACCAGCTCAGTTGGCAGGTTACGTACTCAGGTCTTATCGCACAAAGCCCAAATAGACATTCATTCATTCATCATTCATTCATTCATTTGAGGTAGAGGCTCCTGTAGCCCAAGCTGGCCTCCAGTTGACTGTGCGTGGCCAGGAGCTCCTGGTCCTCCCTGGGTTGGGTCACGTGGCACTGGCGATGGAACCCCAGGGCAACTGAGTCCCCAAGCCCCAGCTCCCAAGCTTACTTTTATGAGCCCCGACCCAATGAAAAACAAACTATTAACGATAAATAAACGAACAAAGCTGCGTTAGTGAAACAGCCCTCCTTCTCCCAAGGGCAGTGGGCACCTGGGAGTCTACATTTCCCATTTCCAGAAAAGCCAATGGGCAGGCGAGGTGGCTCATGGGGCAGAGCCCCTCCCCATCCAGCCTGATGACTTGAGTTCAATAGTTGAGACACTCATGGTGACGGAAGGTCCTGGCTCCCACAAGTTGTCCTCTGACCTCCACACATAGGTGACTGTATGAACATGTACACACATGCACACACACACCCACCACACACATTCACACACACACACCACACATTCACACACACACTCACACACACCACAAATGAACAAAAAGAAAAAAGAAACAAGTCGAGTCTCCGCTTTGCTCCCCACACCTCATGTGACCACAAGGGCCAGGGTGCCACTGTCAGCGACTCAGGATTTGGCCCCTGCCCAAACCCTACTTCCAAAGCCCGCAGAGGCAAATCTGGGAAAGCAAGGGATGGGAAGCAGGAAGGCAGGTTCCTGTGCTGGAAAGCTGTAGAGCAGAGGGAAAGAAGGTCTTGTCACGGCATTCCTCTTCACCTACACTCTGCCCCACACCTCCCTGCCCCCACCCCGCCCCTTCACCCCCAACCCCATTCCACTGCCAAGAGGAATTTTATCAAAAAGACAGGCCACCGTACTATCTAGACAGGCGTTATCATTTGTCAATGAGGTTTGGGTTTTACCCTCTGCGACCAGCAATTACCAAAGGGCTGATTACTCTCCAGCAGACAAAATATGCTGGCTGCAAAGACACACTGGAGATTCCCCACAGAAGCTGGAAGGGTGACAAGGAACACAGGCGTTTTTATCGCCCCCAGCTCTGAGATCTGATGCTCAGACACAGACCAAGGTGAAAAGCGAGTCTGCGGGCTGGCGATGTGGTTCAGTCAGCAGAGCACCTGCCGAGCGTGAGCAAGACCCTGGGGAAGGATCCCCAGCATGGCGATGCACACCTGTAATCCCAGCACGCAGGAGGCAGAGGCAGGCGGACCAGAAGTTCAAGGTCCTTCTCGGCTACAGACTGAGCTGGAGGCTAGCCTAGGGTAGATGAGACCCCGTCATTTTTTTTTTTTTTTAATAAAGAAAATTTTAAAAAACAAACAAGAAAGAAAAATACAAGTCATGTGTGATGCCACAGATCTGGAAAGGTTCAAAATTCAGAGTCATCCTAGACCATATAACAAATTGGAGGCCAGCCTGCGCTACGTGAATTGCTGCTTCAAAAACAAAGTAGGGCAACCCGGCTCTTCTGGTGTGGCATGCCACATGAGCGTACCCTGAGCCCCAGGCACAGGGAAGGGAATCCCAAGTGCCTCAGGCTGACCTCTACACCCCTGTTGCCAGCCACAGCCATAGGTCAAAAGTGACGAACTTGTTTCATCCTGTGCTAAAAGGCAGGGGAGATGTGTGGGTGCATTCCACTGAAAATGGCACCCACATTGTTCCTGGGCTGAGCTGAAAGTGTTTCCCCAAGAAAACAGTGCTTCCCACCTGTTAGAAGTTGCTGCTGGGTCTTGCCTGGCAGGTGAGAGTTTGTCCAGGGAGAGGAGGGGAGATGATGATGTGTAACACCCCCCACCACAAGAGACCCCAGAGACTCGAGTCCCACCCCTCCAAGGCAGCATCAGCATTTTCGTGTTGAGAAAGTCTCTGCTTTGTGTTGTTGTTGGACTTTAGACAAGGTCTCCTTATGTGGACCAGGCTGGTCTCGAACTCACAGAGATCTACCTGCTTCTGCCTTCTGAGAACTGGGATCAAAGGCCTGTGCTACCATCATCAGACAGTCTTCTTGGACTTTAAAAGATAAAAGGTGTGGGAGGCAGAGGCAGCCAGGACTACACTGGGCGGCCATGTCTCAAATGTGTCCCCACCTCCTCATCCAGAGAAGATGAAGGCTACCTGGATGCCCCAGTGATTCCCTCGGCTAGGATCTGACAGGAAGAGAAGAATAGAAGTCTGGGCACCACAGGATGAGAGTTCAGATGAGAATGTAAAGAAAACACCATCTACCATACGCGGAGCCCTGGGTTCCACTCTGACACCCCATAAATCAAGTGTAATAAGCCACACCTGTAATTCTAGTACTTGTTACATGGAGTGGTTGGTCTGGACTATATGAGACCCTATCTCTAGATAGATAGATAGATAGATAGATAGATAGATAGATAGATAGATAGATAGATAGATAGATAGATAGATAGATAGATACAGAGATAGACTGACCGACAGACAGACAGAGAGGCCAGGGAGATGGCTCAGCAGGTAAGGTACTTGCTGCCAAGCCTAGCAACCTGAGTTCAATTCCCTGGGACTCACATGATGAAAGGAGAGAGCCCATAGGCTGTCCTCTGACCTCCACATGTGTGCTGTGGCATGTGAGTTCAGAGCTGCACATATGCACCCCTCCCCATACACACACACACACAATGAAACAAATATAATTTTAAAAATAAATAAATTAGCTAACTAAGACAACCAAAAAGCAGCTGATGATGGAACACAATCCACACTGTACCCCAGGCTACGGAGAGATGTGTGGTCAACACTGACCCCTGCTTAAAGCTAAGCCCTCCTAATGGAGAGCACTCAGCCATCCTCCGGAACAAACTGGTCACACAGCCCTCCCTGGGAGGGCACAAAACAAGGAGGAATGACATCCCACAGCACTAGCCTGAGCTACGGTGCGAACTGAGAAGAAGAGACGGAGAGAGATCTGTGGCTAAGCTGGGTGTAGACACGGCCCTTCTGCCTGTCGTAACTGCACTGAATTCACAAGACCAGGATATGAAGTAAGAACCCACACCACAGCACGTGGAAAGAGAGAAAAGTTCAGCTGTGAGGGGCTGACTTCTGCTCTGAGGCAGCACCTTGAACTCTGACGTAAAAGGAAAACACAGGCTGGCGTGTGCTTGTGTGAAGCAGCCCTGGGTTCTACTCCCAGCACTGTGTAAACAGGGTACAGTGGTACAAGCCTGTCACCCCAGCAAAGGGGCGTGCACGGGGTGGAGGCTGGAAGGCCAGAAGGTCAAGGTCTTCTTTAGCTACATATGGAGCTCTAGGCTAGCCTGGGTGGACTTTGTCAAAAGGAAAAAGGAAAGAAAAACAGAAAACGGCAGAGCACTGCGGTGATACACACCAGGAAGGTCAGAGCCTGGAGATGGAGACCGGCGGATCAGAACTTCAGGTTCACCCCAGCTACATCACCAAGCTGGAGGCCGGACCCAGGCATTATGGGACCCTGTCAAAAAGGAAAAAGAGGAGGAGGCAGAGGAGAAGAAAGAGGAGGAGGAAGAAGAGGAGGCGGAGTGGTGGTGGCGGCGGCAGCTGGGGCAGCTGGAGAGGTGGCTCAGTGGTCAAGAACACGACCACTCCCGCAGGACCTGAATTCAGTTCCCAGTACCCACGTCAGACAGTTCACAACCACCTGCAACTTCAGTTCCAGGGCCTTCTGTGATCTCCTCTGGCCTCACTGGGGACCTACACTCACATGTGAATATCATCGCACAGATACAGTTACACACACACACACACACACACACACACACACACACACTCTTAAAATAAAATTAGACCCAAGCGAGTGAGACAGCTGGGTCTTGAGACATCAAAAGCCAGTTTCCAAGAGACCTCCAGAACTCAGGCTACCTTATCCACGTTGGCACGGGTCTTCGCTGAGGTCTCCACGTACTGCACACCCCACTCTTCCGCTTTGCCCCGGGCCTCATCCACCGGCACCTGCCTCCGCTCCTCCAGGTCAGACTTGTTGCCCACGACCAACAGTGGGATTTTATCTTCCTCCGCCTTAACCCGAAGGATCTGCTCCCTATGGGTGAGACATCAAGAATAGTGTGTTTAAGAGAAGCTGAGGAGGAGCCAGTGAGGCGGCTCAGGGATAAGGGCGCTGGCTTCCCAGGATGACTTGAGCTTGACCCACGAGGTGAGTGGTGAAGGACTCCTGCATGTTATCCGCCAACCTCCACAGCACGGGTGTGTGACAACCTCCACACCACGGGGTGTGTGACAACCTCCACAGCATGGGTGTGTGACAACCTCCACA